ACCAAATACTGAACCTGCCTGTGCTTGGATCTTGGACTTCTAGCCTCCAGAACAATAAGGAATACATTTCTGTTGCTTATCAGCCACCCGGTCTATGGTTGTTACAGTAGCCCAAGCGGACTGAGACATGCCAGATGCCATACTAGCTGCCTGACAGATAAATTTATCATTGCCAGTTTATAGATGAGAACCAGAAGGCACTGAAAAGTTAAGTGACCAGCCCAAGGTTACATACCTAGTTAAAAAAAAAAAAAAAAAAAAGGCTGCTTACAAAAAAAGAGGCAATGGCTGAGATGTCCTATCATGGCTGAAATGTCAAATGACTAAAAAACAATAAAAGCTCATTTAGTAGTTCAGTCACACCAAAGGGGGCACAGCAATTCTTAATTTTATTTCCTATCTGGATGAGACATTTTCAGTGTTTATACGGTCCTAAAATCAAAACCAGAACGCGGAGCAGTTTGTATCATGTTCCTGCGGATTGTCATGGGCCTTCCCTCTGCGGAGGTGGGGTGCATTCATGAAGTGGGGTCAGGGGAGTCCTCTCCACTATGCCTCCCACCCCCACCCTAGCTCCCCACAACTCCTAAGTGCAAGCAATCCTCCTCCAGTGAACGTTCTCCAAGCACTGTACCAAGCACAGAGGGAACAGAGGCGTGCACACCACTCCCGAAAAGATACTTAAACCAGGCTGCATGGGATGGTGGCTTACAGTTAGCACTGGGGGAGCTTCTCAGAGGAGGGGACACAAGAACGGAGCCCTGGCTGGGTAAGCCATTCCATCCTTCAACAGCCACTAATTCACAAGGGGTGGAGGAGGCTGTCTGGGGAGGAAAGGAGAAAGCACTTCCTGGGCCAAGGTAATACTACATGTTCAAAAGCACAAAAGCAGGCATATCCGTGCAACTTAGGAAAATAAAAAAGGAAAGGTCTTACTAAAGATCAGCACCAACATGACAGGGTCTTGCAGCTCCTTTATCTTTCCTCAAAGACAGTCTATCTTGATAAAAATTCATATATATATATATATATATATATATATATATATATATATATATATTCATTCCTAACAGGATGACGACTTGCAGGTTGAACAGGCCTTTTGAAACAGCCCTTCCAGAAAACCCATGATTACATCTGTTGATTATTTTGCCCAGTCCTTTAGAAGGACTGCTGCCTCAAAGGTAGTTTATTTTTCCTTTTTTTATAATTTATCTGAAAGATATTTTAGTCCAACCTGAAGGGGGAAAAAAAGACTGATAAAGGTTTGACTATCCAGAGAGCAATAAACTTGAAGAGATAAAAAAAAAAAAAAAAGTCACAAAAGACTTAAATAAAAGAAATGAAAAAAGTCTTCCTGGCTACTAATGGGATTCTCGGCTCCCACGGAAGCTGATTACAAGACCCTTCAGAAGCAGCTTTATCACCCAGGTGAGGACAGCTGCAGCGTGGCACAGTTCCGCCGTGAGATCGCTTCAATAAGGAGAACAAAATTGCTACCATCACTCTTGGAACCGTTAAGGAGAACGTGTGGGCAGATGTCATGCCATGTCGGGGGAAAAAATAGGAAAGAAAATAAAGTGAGGGGTTAATGTCAAAGCTACAGCAATCTACACCTTTAGGAATCCTAGGCCAAAGGGCCAAACGCGCCAGGATCCATTAAGCCACTGCAGAAAACACCAACACAGGACACGAGTGCCTGACCCGGTCTCATTACCATGCTCTCCTTGGTCCAGACCATCAACTGTCGCAACTGGTTACATCTGAGGCTTACTGGGCGGGCTGTGTCTGGATGTTCCTAGTAAAGTTAATGCTCACGACATGCCCACCCAGTAGCAGGCACAGTGCTGGGCACTTGACATGCCCTTAGTGCTAACCCAGTCCTACGGAGTGGGTACTTAGGTTTCCCCTTGACGATGAGGACTCGAGGCTCAGAAAGGTTAAGGAGCTTCTCTAAAGCTACCCCCGCTGGTAAATATTGTACTCTTCTGCCCCTTGGGGTGGGGCTGGATGGAAAACTGTAGAATCGGTCTGATGTCCGTCTCCAGCCTGTGAAGTTTCCCCATCTGAAAGCTTCTGGTACCTGAACTCCTGAAAACATTTTTTAAAGGCCATTTACTGTCTCAGAGAAAGTGAAGCGCTGCATTTATATGACACAATTCTCCCAAGCAAAAAGACCATTCACGTGCTTAGAATAAGAACAAAACTTCTAATATTCTTTTCAAAACTTAATTCTTATCTTTTGAGACTCTAAACAAAGTAAGGATAATGGAGAGAAAGCTTGAGACACGATAACCATTCTCTATCCATGCAAGTGGACGGCTCCCTGCGTTTCACCTTCATACTAAGACACAAAACCTGATGGTTACAGCTAAAACTTCACTAGTAAAGAAATGGGGGAATTCTTATGCTCTAGTTTATGTAATCACATCAAATATTTCAACATATGAGATATTAAAATATATAGAGTAAGCATTCTGTGCACTACCAATAAATGAGCCCCAGTTGAGGAATGGCCTTCAGAAGGCATCCTGGAACCTTCCAGGCTCCAGGAGTCCAGAAGAGAGGGAATTTCAGCAGAAAGCAGCCACTCTTTGAGTCTACGCACACCACAGAAGCTGCAGAAGGTCCAATCTCCAAACTACCCAGGAAGCAGGCTTGTTCTTCCTTATGCTACTTCTCCGGGAGAACACAAGAAAGATCTTGCTTTTTACCACCTACTATTACACCGGAAACATCTTTCTCAGGAAGCAAGTGGGCTATCTTTTCTCCTTCAGTAAAAGCCAAGGCTTCAAAGAGATAATGCAAGTGAACCAAAATAGCCAGGCCACAATCCTTACTTATAAATATTACATAAAGAATTCTTTTCAAAGCCAAAGGCTATGAAGTTCCTCTGCAGAGATGAGGAGCAGAAAGCCATGGGGCCAAAAGTACAGTGGAGCCAGGCCTCCTGCTTGTGCTCAACCATCCTTCATTACAGCAGAGCGCCCCATGATCGCCGCGACCTAGGCAAAGCCAGAAGTGGCAGCGCAAGCACACATCCAGCCTGGTTGGCAGCAGCCAACCCAGCCCCCAGAGCCCGCAGCTCTGCTGCTGCCACCAAGAAGCCATCACCACTTGAGAGAGGACAACTCATCTCAAGAAGGTAACATGCTAATTGGTTCAAAAGCTAAAGCTCCACGGCAGGAACCTTCCTAAGGGTTACCGAATGCAAACTGTCTAGGACTTCTAATCCCCGGGGATCCCTGGGTGGCGCAGCGGTTTAGCGTCTGCCTTTGGCCCAGGGCGTGATCCTGGAGACCCGGGATCGAATCCCACGTCAGGCTCCCGGTGCATGGAGCCTGCTTCTCTCTCTGCCTCTCTCTCTCTCTGTCTCTATCATAAATTTTAAAAAAATTAAAAAAATTAAAAAAAAAAAGGACTTCTAATCCCCTTTCCTTTTGCAGAGATGCATCAAGAGCCCCAACCCAATCTGTCCTGGGCACAAACCACGGATTCACAGTAAATTTGACTCTGCTCTCTCCATGCCAAACAAGCAATGCATCACCTTTTAGGATCTCCTGAACATCTCTCCTCCTCCTCCAATGTCACATCCTGGTCTGAATCTCAGCAACTCCATCCATCCAACATTTCTGAGCACCTACTGTATGCCAGGCCCACTACCAAGAAGGCATTTATGAGTAATACACAGCAACATTCTCCCCCAGTCTCCAATGCGGGTGAGAAACATCTGGATTAAGAACGGATCACAATCCTGGGTAAGCAGAGCCATGAAGCAAGGCATGTCCACCTTCACAGAGGAGGGGGTGACTATTTGCTTGACACCAACAGAGAAGTTTCCACATGGGCGATGGCATCTGGGCTGATTCTTGACAGACAAGTAAAAGGATCTGGGGGAAAAAGAGAGGAAGAAAACAATACTTCTAAGGCACAAAGACCTGAAAGACACTGCCCTGGTTCAAGAAAGGGCAATCCGTTCAGTATGGCGGGAAGAACAAATGCATGGATGAGATAGGAAAGGTAGGCTTTGGCCAGATTCACAAAGGCTCCGCATGTCACGCCAAAGAACTTGGAGCATCACTGTTGCTAATGAACAACCAGAAGTGTTTAAGGGAGAAGGTCCAAACTGAAGCCACACTCGGCCTGAAGAAGTGTTTTATTTCACCTGCACTTTTCAGTACTGGAATTAGTTGCCAATGTCTAAAAAATTAAGAAATTTCACGTAAAAACCTAAACTCGTGCCTTCCTGAAAACAACAGCTATGGAGACACTAGGCCAACATCCCCAGGTGGTGACAACCGTGTGCACGTGCACAGCAGGTCCGGCAGCTGCTCCTCTTCAGATGGGATACCCACGATGAAGTTCATGACCATCCTCAGCTGGCCCCAAAAGACATCTGAGTTTGCAATCTCTGGTTTAACGGAGTGAGTTACAGGCTAAGATATGTTGCAGAAAAATAACCTTAGAAAGCAACACAGTGACTGAAGCACAGGGTCGGCAAACCTGAAGGCAAGAAGCTGAAAGTTAGGGGATACATCACAGTAGCACGAGGAGGTAACAAAAGCCTCAACTAAGAATAAAGAGCCAGGAAAGGGCAAGGAGTGGAGACGTGCTTAACAAACTCCAGCCATAAGAGGAGTTAATCATGGAACTTCTGTGTGGCGATTGCTCAAGGGTCAGTGACTATATTAGGAGAAAACAAGCCTGATGCAAAAGTGATTTTCGATTTAAAATAAAGTGGGTGTTCAGTAAACTGCGCGGGAAATCTTCTCAAATACCAGCTACTGCCTGGGTGACTCCTACCCCGGGGTCTGAGGCTCGTCTTCCAGCCAGGCCCGGCCAGGTGCCCGGCTGCAAACTTTCTGAGCTAAGCTCTCCGCAGGCGAGGGTTGCACGCAGGGGTGCAGAGCCCTGGAAGCTGGGGAGCGGCGGCGGCCGGCGGCTCCCCGGGAAGCGCGCACAGCCCGCAGGCCCAGGGAGGGCGCGGCCCCCGCACTTACACAGGCCGTTGACGTCCAGCATGTTGGAGATGCCCCGGTCACTCATGTCCACTTCCGGCTGGTTCTTCTCCCGACTCTCCTCCACCAACTTCTTCAGGGACTTGGACATGTTCTGGAGCAAACGACAACAGAGTAGGTGGGCGACGGCCGGGGGCGGGGGTTGGGTTGGGGGGGCCGGGGGTTGGGGGGGCTCGGCCGCGGGCTGGCCCCGGGCGGGGGGCGTCCGCACCGCTCCGGGCGCTCAGGGAGGCGAGCCCGGGTGCCACGCCGCACACTCACCGCGGAGCGCGGAGCGCGGCGCCGACCCGGCGGGCGAGGGAAGCACAGGCGTCCGCCCCGCGCGCTGCAGCAGCAACAGATGCGCCCGCTCGGAGCGACCGCGGACGGGAACGGGGACGGGGACCGCGCCCTGTCCCGCAGCTCCGCGCAGGCGCACAGCCCGCAGCCCTGCGCTCCACGCCCCGCCCGCGCCCGGCGGTTCCCAAATTAGGAGACCAGTTCACTAGACGGGGCTCCAGGGTGAGGCCCCGCCCACAAAGGAACGTGTACGCGGCCGGCCAATCACATCCGCCGCCTGGCCTCGAGGCTCCGCCCCGCCCCGAGGTTAGCCCGTCCCCCTGGAATGCGCCCCGGGCTGCCGTTCGGAGAGGACCGGGCTGGGCGCACGCGCACCAGCGTCGGCGCAGGCGCGGTTTGTGCGCCGAAGCGCGGAGAGCTGTGGGCGGAAGCGGGAACCTGGGGGCGGGACTGTGGGGAGAGGGTGGTCGCTCCACTTGGGAACCCGGGAAGCGAGAAGTTAGTTGCTCCTCCTTGTCCTGCCTCTTTAGTTGTGGTTCAGTGTTCAGAGGTCACTATTCTGATCCCTTCCCACAGTCGTTCCTTAGGCTGTATCATGAGCTGCTCGAATGCAAGAACGGCACAGTGGTCTGTGTTCCCGGCACCCAGCTAGATTCCCAGCACCCAGCTAGGGATTGCCAGCACCCAGCTGGGGATTCCTAGCACCCAGCTAGGGATTGCTAGCACCCAGCTAGATTCCTAGCACCCAGCTGGATTTCTAGCACCCAGCTAGGGATTGCCAGCACCCAGCTAGGGATTCCTAGCACCCAGCTGGGGATTGCTAGCACCCAGCTAGATTCCTAGCACCCAGTTAGAGATTGCCAGCACCCAGCTAGATTCCTAGCGCCTAGCTAAAGATTCCTAGCACCCAGCTGGATTCCCAGCACCCAGCATGGACCCCTGTGTCACATGAAGGGGAATACATAGAGATAAATGACTTCTCTTTCCTTATACTACACTCATAATTATGCAATATTGTAGTTTGCTTTCTACAATCTTTATTGCTTTATACAATCTTCATTGTTGGGTTTTTTTTTTTAATAGACTTTCGGCTTTTCTTTTTTTTCCTATATTTTTAAAATAGATTTTATTTATTTATTCGTGAGACAGAGAGAGAGGCAGAGACACAGGCAGAGGGATAAGCAGGCTCCTCAGGGGAGCCCCGTGCAGGACTCGATCCCAGGACCCCAGGATCACACCTGAGCGGACAGACGCTCAACCCCGAGCCCCCCGGGCGCCCCTCCTGTAACCCATTTACCGTACCTCTAAGAACATACAGCTTTTCATTCCTCTCCATTGCTTGGAATTCAATGAATTCTTCTTCAAGGCTTTAGGAACCTACTAAATTTCTGCTCCAACTTTGACCAATTATTTCTGCTCGTCCAGCTGATGGGTGACCTGTGGTTTCTTTCATTTGGCTCCTAGGTTTCAACTGACCCCTCTTGTATTTATCTTGATGGAGCTGCTCAAATAAACTTCTCTAAAATGGTGTATAGGAGGCACAAACTCTGAGTAGTTGTATTTATTAAAATGGTATTTTGCCCACACCTTTATAATTTGCCTAACATGGAATTCTAAGTTCATTATCAATCTGTCTTAGATCTCAAAGGCGTCCTTCCAGTGACCTTTGCTTCCAAGGTTGATGCCTAGAGATGTGTTGGTCTCTTCCTCAAGTCTTTCCAGGGAATTATTGTTTTCCTTTGGGAAGCATTTGTGATCTTTTAATTATTTACCATTTTCTGAAATGTCACCATCAGATCTCTAATTGGAGATCTTTTTAAATTTACTCTGTTTAGTACCCATTTGGCCCTTTTCAGCTGAAGATTCATTTCTCTCGTCCTCTCTGGAAATTGTTTCTGTTATTTCCTTGAAATTTCTTTTCTGCCATTTTCTCTTATTTAGCACATTAAGGAAATCTGTTAGGCAGATGGCAGCCTCCTAGGACAGTTTCCTACAGTTATCTTTTTTTCTCCCCCATGTGTTTTATTTATATTCTGAACTTAATGTTTTGGGAAATATCTCAATGTTATCTTCCGAACCTTTTATTAAAATTTTAAAAAGCGATTTTGGCTATTAATCAAAAAAATACTTCCTAAGACATCTTCCTTGGTTAATCTCACCAGGCTTTTGTTTCAGGAGGGCGCTCTTCTCAAATATCTCTGAGGATAATAACAATTTTTAAATGTCTCTTCTCTTGACTGAACTGTTCCCTTGTGACCTTTTCAGTTACTTTATCTAAAGTTTCCTTTAAAGTTTATCTACTTTATCTAAAGTAGATACTTTATCTATTTTCCCATTCATATTGTTGTAATTCTTCTTGTCTGGTGACTCTTGGTTGTTTTTTCATATTCAATCATGAAGGGGATCTGAGCTGATTTTTCTAGATAGCCCATGTGGTTTTTTCCTTTTCTACTTATGATGTGTAATTATTTCCATCCTAGGTCCGCATTAATTTTCCTTGGGCTGTTGGTTAAATTTCTTCAGAGGGGAGATCCCGGTTTTATACCTGCTTGTAGTCACTAGGCTGCTTTTGCTGGCAGAGGGAAATGGTGAATTGCAAGCGCCAACTAATGTAGTTCTTGTACTTCTGGTCTTACTCCTCACGCTGCACCTGCCAACCCCAGACACCCCGATAATGCCTGGAAAGTCCATTCTCAATTCTGCTGCACACCGGTCTTGAAATTGCTCTGGGCTACAGTTTCTTACCCCCCCCCCGCCCCCACTGTTTCATTTATCTGCGGCTTCTACTCACTTCCTGTTTTCCAGAAAATTATTTTCATTTCTTTATAATTCTCCTCTGATTATCTTCACTGTTGCCAATACAATTCTTAATAAAAAGTGTCCTTAAGTTCCAGATCTTTATAGCATGGAAACGGGCCAGCTTCCTGGGTATGTGGCCTGTGCAGCAACACAAAGTCCCATGCTTAGCTGGGTTGCGTGCTTGATTTAATGCTCTGCTGTCACTATCTCAAAATATTTAATAATTTTTTATCAAGGGGCCGTGCACTTTTCTTTTGTACTGGGCCGTGCATATTATGTAGCCAGTCCTCCATGCAAAAGTTAATATTTATGAGAGCTTAAATCGCTTCCACAGCTTCCCTGCCAAGTGCTCTGCGCTTACATACTGTCTATGCTGTAATACTGCCCATTAGGAGAAATGTACTACTCCCACCCCAAGCCCACAGGGTGGGCCAATCGAAGATAGAGCACGGAAGATGCCTGTCCACACAAAGCACGCTAGATTATGACAATAAAGGTAAATTAAGTACATTTACATAAATTATTGCATGTATCATTAATTTTTAAAATACCTTGTTATTCTCCAAACTGTATATTAATTTACATTTAGTTACCAAATTAAAATTTGAAAAGCCAATTTTTCATCAAGTATCCAATAGTTATACCATTTTTCTTCCAGTAACTTCCCTCTTTAAATTGATAGCCATGGGGCAGCCCGGGTGGCTCGGCGGTCTAGTGCCACCTTTGGCCCAGGGTGTAATCCTGGAGACCCAGGATCGGGTCCCACATCGGGCTCCCTGCATGGAGCCTGCTTCTCCCTCTGCCTGTGTCTCTGCCTCTCTCTCTCTCTCTCTCTCTTTCACTCTCTCTGTGCCTCTCATGAATAAGTAAAATTAAAAAAAAATTGATAGCCATGGAGTGATCTGTGGTTCCAATAAGTAATAAGTTTTTCCCATTATTTTTGATGCTGTTGCAGCAATTATATTAAAAAAAATCCTAGGTCTTATAACAATGTCATTCTTTTTTAAGAATTTTAATAGCTCTATGAGAATAGTTTATAATAATAAGTTGACATATTTAATATTTAATAAGTCATATTTGATAAGTTGACTCCTAATCCTTCATGCTAAATGGGAGGCACACTCTTGAGTGGTTGCCAAGGTCAGAATCATAGCTCTCTCACTCAAGTTTTATTGAAGTTTTCATACCTCATTTTTCTCAACTGTAAAATGGAAGTAATGGTTCTTAGTATTTTATTTCAGTGAGTGATATACAAGAATGATACATGGCATAGGGCAAATATTACATAGATATTAGTTCTAATTTTTTCTTAATATAGTTAATATTGTTAGTATTCCCTGGTGTGTGGCAGATTTTTTTTAATTCCATTAAATGGATTTGAAATGTAATAGAAAATTACAACTAGAACCCATATCCTGAGCATCTCCTAGCCCTATTCATTGGCTCCAACCATCCCCTAGGTCATTCTTCACAAGAATGCCTGGAGCACCTAATATTCCACTGGGCCAAGAGAGAGCCTGTGCTGGCCTCTTGCTGAGCTATTCCAAGGGTAACTCTGGCCAGTAATGGGCAAAGTTACCCTTGAAGACTAAAAGGAATGAGATTTATTCTTCCTGCTAAGGTCCAGTTGTTTAGGGAGACAGAGAATCGGAGAGGAGAGAGATCAAGCGGTAGAAGGAAACTGGCTGTCCCCAATCCTGGGTTCCCAGACCATGAGCAGGCAGGGATAGAGATTCCCAGGAGAACTGAATCAGTATGGCCACCAGGTAGTACTAGTAAAGCCAACTTCTATGTCAAGCATTAGCCCTTTGGTTGCTGGATCATGAAGAGGCTGGATGGACAAAGTGGTGCTGGAGTTTGTCTCTTATCCCTGTTCTGCTCTTCTCAAATAGGATGATAAAGTTTCCATTCTCACCTGGAATGGGCTAGTGTTAGAAAGTGACCATGAGATTTTTCTCAGTTCAGAATATGATCAGTTGTGAACAGGAGTAATTTCCCTTTCTTTACATTTGTGCCTATTTGTATTCCTTCAGACCCATGTTGAACATCACTCTCCATTATCTTCCAAGTAAGACTTCCCCTCATCCACCCTTCAAACCCATTTGTTTTATATTATAACTTTTTGGATTCCACTTATGGCCTGAAAATTTGGTGTATCTCAATATTTAACAACCAGGACGTTTGTACCAGTGTGAACTAGCTGATTGTTAGCTCTGTGCACGGATGATCACTAAGAATGGAGTTTCATTCATGATGATACAATTTGAGAGCAAGAAAGTTACCACTTAGCCACTAAATTTAGGAAGCTGGCTTAATAAAAGTTTCACCAGATAAGGAAATTGAGAGTTTTGCCCTAGG